ACCCCATCTCGCCCCTCCCCCCACCCCAAGATGGCATGCATTCTGAATACCCCTTCCCCTAGTCTGCCTTCCCTTCTGTCTGTCCCCTCCTTCTCTTATCCCCTTCCCCTTCAATTTTCCTGTAGGGCAGGATGGATTTCTGTACCCCATTTCCTGTATTTCTTATTTCCCAGTTCCATGTGAAAACATTTTTTTAAACGTGTTTTTAAAACTTTGGGTTTCAAATTTTCTCCCTTCCTCCCTCCCCACCCACCCTCATTGATAAGGCAAGCAACTAAATATAGGTTATGTATATGCAGTTATGCAAAATACTTCCATAGTAGACATGCTGTGAAAAACTAACTCTATTTCCCTTAATCCTATCCCACCCCCCCATTTATTCTATTCTTTCTTTTGACCCTGTCCCTCCTCAGAAGTACTTGCTTCTTATTACCCCCTTTCCCAATCTGCCTTCCTCTCTATCATCCCCTGACTCTCTTGTCCCCTTCTCCCCCCATTTTCCTGTAGGATAAGACAGATTTCCATACCCAATTGAGTGTGTGTTATTCCCTCCTTAAGTCAATTTCTATGAAAATAAGATTCATTCATTCCCTCTCACCTTCCCATTTCCCCTCCACTGTAAGAGCCTTTTCTTTTCTGTTTTTTTTGTGAGATAATTTACCCCATTCTACCTCTCCCTTTCTCCTTCTCCTAGTATAATCCTCTCTCACCCCTTAATTTTATTCTGCAGATATGACCCCTTCATTTTCAACTCACCATGTGCCCTCTATCTATATCTATATATATGTACATATAATTTTTTCCCCTCCAGCTACCCTAATACTGACAAAGGTCTCGTGAGTTACAAATATCATCTTTCCATGCAGGAATGTAAACAGTTCAACCATAATATGTCTCTTATGATTTTCTCTTTCCTGTTTACCTCTTCATGTTCCACTTGAGTCTTGTATTTGAAATCATATTTTCTATTCAGCTCTGGTCTTTTCATCAAGAATGCTTGAAAGTCCTCTAGTTCACTGAATGACCATTTTTTCCCCTGTAGGATTATACTCAGTTTTGCTGGGTAGGTGATTTTTGGTTGTAATCCTATCTCCTTTGCCCTCCAGAATATTATATTCCATGCCCTGCGGTCCCTTAATGTAGAAGCAGCTAAATCTTGCGTTATCCTGATTGTGTTTCCACAAGACTTGAATTGTTTCTTTCTGACTGCTTGTAATATTTTCTCCTTGACCTGGGAACTCTGGAATTTGGCTACAATATTCCTAAGAGTTTTCCTTTGGGGATCTCTTTCAGGAGGAGATCGGTGGATTCTTTCAATTTCTATTTTGCCCTCTGGTTCTAAAGTATCAGGGCAGTTTTCCTGGACAATTTCTTGAAAGATGATATGTAGGTTTTTTTTTTGATCATGGCTTTCAGATAGTCTAATAATTTTTAAATTCTCTCTCCTGGATCTATTTTCCAGGTCAGTTGTTTTTCCAGTGAGATACTTCACATTGTTTTCTAATTTTTCATTCTTTTGGATTTGTTTTACAGTGTCTTGATTTCTCATAAAGTCACTACCTTCCAATTGCTCTATTCTAATTTTTAAGTAAGTATTTTCTTCAGTAATCTTTTGGACTTCCTTTTCCATTTGGCCAATTTTGCTTTTTAGGGCCTTCTTCTCCTCATTGGGTTTTTGGACCTCGTTTGCCATTTGGGTTAGGCTGTTTTTTAAGGTGTTATTTTCTTCAGTATTATTTTTGGGTCTCCTTTAGCAAGCTGTTGATTTGTTTTTCATGATTTTCTTGCAAAACTCAGTTTTTCCTCTACTTCTTTCATATTCATATTTTTCTTGGAGGCTTTGGATGTAGGAGCTTTGGCTTTGTTGTCTTCTTCTGGTTGTATGTTTTGATCTTCTTTGTCACCAGAGTAAGATAATATAGTCTGACTCTTTTTGCGCTGCTTACTCATGATCCCAGCCAATTTCTTGAGTTTTAAACTCTTTGTTAAGGTAAAAGTCTGCTTCCAGTGTGGAGAATGTACTGTCCCAAGCTTCGGGGGTTTGTACAGCTGTTTTCAGAGGTACTTCTAGGGACCTGAAAATTTTCAGTTCTTCCAAGGTGCTATGTTAAGGGGCGAGGTGTTTTCTCTCCACCGCCACAACAAGCTGTACCAGGCCAGCGCTCCTCCTCGCCCCACGGCCGCCCCTCAGAACTGTGACCCAGATCCAAGCACCGGTAAAGCAAGAGATTCCTGCCTCAGCACTGGCAGAGAGAACCCTGCAATCCCCTTGTGATCAGCCACTTGATTCCCCCTCTGGCCTTCTATGGGCCAGAAGCTCAGGAACAGCAGCGGCCCCAGGGCTGGCTGAGATCTAGCTCCTTCTCTCACTGCAGTCACAGACTTTTCCCACTCACCTCCCAAGTTGTCTTTGGGGTTTGTGGGTTGAGAAGTCTGGAAACCACCACAGCTGCCCGAAATTCAGCCCTCTGAGGCCTGCTCCAGGTTCGCTGCGGCCTGCATGCCCACACTCAGCTGTGCTCCTCTCCCCGCCCGGTGCGATGTACCTTTCTGATCAGGCATCCAGGTTGTCTTGGGCTGGAAATTTGTTTCACTCTGTCTTTTTGTGTGTTCTGCTGCTTTAGAAGTTGTTTAGAGGCATTTTTTGTAGGTATTTGGAGGGGTTTGGGGGGAGAGCTCAAGCAAGTCACTGCTTTCCCTCTGCCATCTTGGCTCTGCCTCCTTAAAAAAATCTTAAGTGGCTCCTTATTGCCTAGGATAAAATACAAACATTTCAATTTGGTGTTTAAAGTCCTTCACAGTTTGGTTTGAATCTTTCATTCATATTGTTTCATGTTACTCCCTTTCATGCACTTCAAATCCCACCCAAACTAACCTATTAGCTGTATCCTTGTACCAAATACTCCATCTCATTCCTCTCAAGTGCCCCATGACTGGATTTCATTTCCTCTCTGACCCACCTTCCCTTTTTCTATTTTCCTCTTTAGATTGCTTTATATTTATTTAATTAATGTTGTATGCCCCAGTAGTCAAATACTTTGAATGCCTCATGAAGGATAAGGCTGTTTTGTTTCAATCTTTGTATCTGCAAGGCCTGCTTAGCACAATGTCTTGATACAATTGAATTAAATTTTTGTAAATGTAGGCACAAGGGAGTTTAATGAAAGAAGGTTGCTAGAAAAAAATGATTTTGGAAATGATGAGTTATGGATTAGTAAAGAAGAGTGGACACTTAAGGCAGGGGAAATGAAATTACTTTGATAAAGATTCCAGGCTATGGCACGGCAGGACAGGAGTTGGATGGGGATGCAAAGAAATTGGCTTGATGGGATTTCAGGAGCCTTGTTGAATAATAGTGAGATAGAAGTTTGAAAATACAGGCCTTGAATGAAAGTTGTTAATCCTGAGTATAACACATTAAAAAATGATTTTTGTGCAATGGCCTGGGATAGGAAGCTGGTTTGGGTTTTTGTTTGTTTGTTTGTTTTGTTTTTTGTTTTGTTTTTAATTTTTACAAATGCTATCAATTCTTGATGATTTTTGTATTTTATATCCTTTTTGGATTGATCAACCATAACAAATGGATAACCCTAAATTAATTTCCCCTTCTGGTCAGAATACAGTTGAACCACATTCCTGCCATCTCTCAGTATGTACTAATTAATATAAGTCAAAATAAAACAGTATAGTTAGGAGAATTAAATACTTCTCCCCCCCCCAAAAAAAACCCCTCATATCTCTGTACCTAGCTTTAAACAAACCTAACATATCAAGTTCCATATTTATGAAATGGATAAATTAATGAATGGGTTTTAACTTTAAGGAATCCTCTGAATATCCTTGTGAATAGTGAACTTCTTAGTAAATTTAATATTTAATTCATATAGTTTGTCCAGGAGCATATTTTATCATGTAAATCAGGAGTAAAAACGATAGCTAGCTTTATGTTGGAGCATGTGCCAAGGTCAAATATAATCAATATGTAGTTTAACTAGCTTTTTTGATTTATTTTAGTTCAGTGATATTTTTATGGATGATAGAAAATTAATGGTAGTAGAGGACTGTTCATTTGTGCAATGTAAGTCATAAATGTCTTTGTTATTTTTGAAAGGGCTTTTCTTTTTTTCCCCTCCCTCCATTTTTTTCATCAGCTCAAGGTCTTCATGCTGCTCACGTTTGGGATGAGATTAAGCAACACGCAAGGCCACATGTAGTTGGGGCAGAACAAAGAGAACCAAATCAAAAAGTTTTTAAGACTGATAACTGTTTCAATAAATCTAGGCCACATTGAGAGATTTTTCAGCCTGTGAAAATATGTTGTATAGAGAAAGACTACTGAAGTAATTGCCAACTTGTAAAAATAGAAATAAGAACACTATCACCAGTTGTCATACAACTTTCTTATCCAATGCTATAGAATTAATAAAAAATCTAAAAGAATTCCAGATATATAAATATAAACTCAGACTATTGGTATTGATTATTGAAATGGCTAAAGTTACTCTTTACATGAAAAAAGCATCCTTTATTATATTTAAAGGTATAATTTATTTTTCATGTTTACATATATATGGAAAGGTGCTCACTTTCACTCTCACTCTGTGTGTGTGTGTGTGTGTGTGTGTATGTGTGTGTGTGTACATATACAGAGAAAACCTTGTACAACATTGTCTTTAATATATAGTTTAATCAGTGTTATTTTAGCATCAACCTTCCTTGACGTGGATTTTCATAGGCTTTTGTTTTTTTCTGTTTTACCTATACATTTTGTATTTGGCCTGGGTTAATGATACTAAAGCTTTTCACTGCAGGTTGCCTGTAAGTGCTTAACTAAAAGTAGCTTCTCATGCAGCCAGTAGGAACAGTTATTAAAGAAACATAAGATTTTAAAGCACAAAACATCCAGTTTTGTTTGTGGTTTTGTTTTTTGGGGTTTTTTTTTTTTGTAGACTTGGTGTTGGAAATAAATAATAAATTTCTCTCTTTTTTTCCCCTTGAAGAGTGTTGCACCAGCAGCCCTTTTTCTGGCAGCTAAAGTAGAGGAACAACCACGAAAACTAGAACATGTAATCAAGGTAGCTCATGCTTGCCTCCACCCTCTAGATGCACTTCCTGACACTCGAAGTGAGGTAAGGGATTGTTTTTCAGTTGTGACTTGCTTTATGTTTATAACTGTTTATGTGTAAATTGAGTTATCACAAGTGTACAAGGGGCACTGACTCTTAAAAGGAATCTCTGAATGAATCTTAAACATTTAGAATTTCTTGCAATGGGTTTCCTCAAGCAGAGCACGTCTGTACTGGCTTTAGTAGTCAGAGGGAGGCAGGTGTGGGGTAAAGATACTTAATTAGGTTCTGAAATGAGGCCTTTCTTTACCATTTGGAGAAAGGTAGGTTTTTGCATCATCTCCCTAAGTGTTCTGTTTTTGGTTGTTTTTTTTTTTTTTTTCAAGTCATGGACTTTGTCTTGTCTTCCTTAGCCCTCTCCCTTTAGATTCTACATCAGAGCAGCTTTAGTTCTAGATTGCTATTTGCTCCCATAAGCAAGCAGGAGAAAACCCCCTTTTCCCCAAAATATTTTCACATCTTTTATCTCCTTTGAATCTCACAAAGGAAAGGGGGAAAGGGCAGCTGTTTTCATTTTATTGAGAGGGAAATGGCATAGAAAAAATTTGCCCAAGATTATACAGTTATTTGTAAAGTTGAGTCTGCAATCCAGCTCTTGGCTCTCAGTCTAGTGTGCTTTCTCCTAGACCATGCCATTTGCCATCCAAGCAGTCTTCTGAAGAGAATTAAATAACATATTACTCATTCCTCACAACACTTTTCCTCACCCTCTCTAAAAGGGAAAGCTTTATCCAGCAGCAAAATATTTGAGGCAAATTTGTTCACTTTTGGTAATGTCTTATATGCCAAAATATTATTAGACTCCACCCTGGGAAATGAATTTAATCCATGAGGCTTTTGTTACTAGTCATCTTTTAACAAAATACGATATTTTAGCATTTGGCCCTCTCATTTTAGGGGAATCTTTGATAATTCCCTCTGGTGTTATATACTGGATAAAGCTGTTTTTCCTGGTTATCCCAAGAGAGATTGTTATAATTCTTCAGGCTTTATAGAGTGCCTCCTCGTGAGTAACCTGCCTGTCCTCTCAACCCCAGGCTTACCTGCAACAAGTCCAAGACCTGGTCATTCTAGAGAGCATAATACTGCAGACCCTGGGTAAGTTTTAAAAGCGGACGGGCTGCCACCTGTGGGCTTCACCCAGACTATGAAGAGTTTGCAGAGCTGAGGGCCTAACCTAACCTATGTCCTGCTCCACAGATGAAGGATAAATACACCTGGCCCCTGCAAAAGCAAGACCTCAAACAACGGATTCCTTACAGGCTTTGTGGTTCATATTTATGTTTAATATGATTTTCAGGTTTAATATGCATTTTTAGTCTTTTGATAAATGGCAGCATAAAAATGAATCCAGGTCTACAAAACCTGTCTGCTTTTCTCCCATAGGTTTTGTGTTCTGTTTGGCCATTGAGCTCTGGATATTGATGTTTGTCTTTAAATTGTAACAAACCCTTCTATTGGGTCTTGTGACCAGCCTGGACAGCAGAATGGGAGGCCAAGGGACTCCCTTATAGGTGTTCCATTTGGAATAGCCCTGAGATTTGTCCTATCTTCAATGCTATGAACTTTAAAAGCTAATTTAATGTTTCACTAGGCCTTTGAATCTGAAATTTTCTTTCCTTCTTTCTTTTTAAACCAGGATTTCTTTCTTGTGCTATCTCATGAGGCAAATTCGCTATGTGGTGTACTGTACCATATACAGATGTGTTATTGAAAAGTTGATTGTACAGTTCTTTTTCTTGAATCTAACAATTTTTTCAGCCATTGATGTTATAAAATGAGAGGTGTATTAAAGTTTTACCTAAAAACATTTAAAGAGATTGTGTTTCTAATAAAATAACGTCACAAGGCATGGCGAACTGAAATTTAAAAGTATTTTATCAGAAATTGTTCCCATAGAACTAGATATGGGGTTATTAACCTTTTTTTTTGTTTGTTTCATGAAACCCTTTGGCAGTCTTGTGAAAACCCATGGCCTCCATCTTAATGTTTTTAAGTGCATAAAATAAAAATATGGGATATCAAAGGAAACCATTTTTTTTAATAGTGTGTTTTGTGTTTTTTGTTTTTTTTTTTTAAGTTTCATTGTTTAAATAGTTAGCTCTGTCTTTATCCAAAGGTAAATAATGAGCTAAGTGGCACAATGGCTGGAGCTTTGGACTAGGAGTTAGGAATACTTAAGTTGGAATCCTGTCTCAGATACCTAATAGCTTTTCCTGACCCTGTACAAGTCAGAACCTCTTTCACCCTCAGTTTCCTCATCTGTAAAATATAGGGGTTGGACTCTATGGCTTCTTAAGTTCAATCTAGTTTTAACTCTAAATACTTCCTTTTAAGACAGATTTTAGCTGACAAAAAGCTATTTGTTTTGTATAAATATTTATTGTTTAAGGGCCCGGTTAATAGTTAATTGTGACTTTGAGTATTTAGTATACTCTTTGTTCATTCTTCATTGATGTAAAGGCCAACATAAACAATAATTCTATTATTTGATCCCATGGAATATTTTACATAAGAATGGTTTCCATGATGCAACTTTTCCCTTATTAGGGATATACCTGGATCAAGGGAATATGTACATTCCAAAACTTGAAAATTATGTTAAAAAAAAACAAAACAATTTTTAAACCTTGTTCCGCCACAAAATTCTGCATTGAGGGTAGACAAAAATGGTAAGTATAATACCATTTTATAGTGGATAAAAAAAAAGATAAAATTTTACATCAAAACAATAATTATTTTTTGGATTAAAGTTTAACTTTAGAAGATAATTATGCCTTATTTTACATTTTAAATGGAGAAGTGAAAGGAGAATACCCTTGACATTGTTATTTTTTTCCCCCTGAAAAAGAACATACCAGGGATTTGCCCCCTCCCCCTCCTCCCATCTGCTGCCCAGGCTCTTACACTAGGTTTTTATGTTTGTGACTAAAAATTATTTTGTTTTCAGTGGTGTTTCAACAGTGAAGAAGTTCTTAATTACTTGGAGAACTAGAGACAGCAGTGGCCTTTCAATTTTATAACTAGGCGTTAAATCAGCCATGGAGATAATTCAACATAGAGAAGAGTTTCTGTCTGCGGACCTCTTGTTCCCCTGAACAACTATTTTGGGGAGGGGAAGGAGGCATTTTACTTGCTCAGATGCAAGGGGTGCAAAATGTATCGAGTATCTTTTGCTTGTTAACCGATCTTCTTCCTTCTGCATTTTTTTTTCAGGCTTTGAAATAACAATTGACCACCCACACACACATGTGGTAAAGTGCACACAACTTGTTCGAGGTAAGGAATCCAAGATTAATGATTCTAACGTGATCCATGTTGCTGTAAAGGATAGTACTTCTGGATGGCATTTATACACACATTACATAAGCATTTATTTGTCAGGGATTAAAGTCAAAGTCTTGGCTTAACTTTCCTTTTGTGTAATTGTTTTAATAGTCATAATACTGGAAGACGGTTACCAAGTCTATTCTGTCATCAATAAGGCCACACTTAGTCATTCCTAGATAAATAAGAAACCTGATTTTTAAAGATTCTTCCCAAACTTTTTAAAAATTGAAATTGATGCCTTTTTTACATTAATCTTTTACCTCTAAATACCTTTCTCCTTTTACCCCCAAAGTGAATCTTCTCTTATAACAGGGGAAAAACTCATTAGCAAAGCAACCAAAACATATGCATCATTCCATACCTGTCAGTCAGCAAGCCTTAAGCCCTTACTATGTGCCAGGCACCATAAAGAATTATAATTTACGACCTCTCTGCCAGTAGGAAAAAATGTATTTCTTCTTCTCAAGAATCAAGATTATCCATTGCAATTAATATAGGTTCAGCTGTCCTTTAAATATTATTTTCATTTATGTTACTCTAATCACTTTGTATCATCTTTTGGTTTCCTTTGATTTCCGCTTTCTTCATTCTACATCACTTTGTGTCTTCCCGTCTTTCCCTGAATTTCTTGTGTGTTTTTTCTTACTGTGTAATAATTCCATTACATTCATATGTCACTGTTTCTTCACCTATTCCTTCAGTTTATAGACACCTGTTTTGTTTCTGGCATTTTACTACTTTGGAGTGCTGCTATGAATTTGTTGGTCCATATATACTCCACATGGTTTCTTTCAGTAGCCTTCATGACCCTTAGTGAGATCACCTAATTTGAAATGGCTTTCCAAAACAGTTGGAACAATTCAGAGTCCTTCTAGCATTGATTATTTTGTTTTTGTCTTTTGTAATCTTTACCAACTTGATGGTTGTGAGGTATGAAACCTCATAGTTGTTTTAATTTAACTTCTCTTTAGTTATTTGGAGCATTTCCCCCATGTAGTTATTATTTTCATTTCTTCTGAAAACTGGTCATCTCGTTTGGCCTTTTTGTGGGGAACATTCACAGCTTTTTGTGAACTTAATTTGATGTCTAACAATCCTTTGTGCCTATAAAATTTCTTTCTTTATACTCTCCTATATCCAAGTTAAACATATTTCTCTCTGCTTGATCTTTCTGGTCACCATCTTCTGTATGAGAACACAGTAGTCTGGTAGATATTTTCTAAATATTCCTTCTTTCTCTTCTTCCAGGATTAATTATTAACTTACAGTCTTATTGCAGATCATTAGTGGTCTTTCTCTGAAGCTTTTATTAAGTCTGCCATGTTACTCTTTAATTATATTTTTTAAGTTAAAAAATTGGTTAAATTTTAGTGTTGTTAAATGCTACTATTGTTGAAAAAGCAAAATTACTAGGAAATTCCCCAAATTTGGGTTTTAACAAAACCACAACAATTTTTTCCTTTAGGAAGAATTTTTTTGTTGTTGAAATTGCAAATAAATTGTGGGGTTTTTCTTTTAAATCTCCATTAATATGATGATTGTATATTTTGAGAACTGATTTCCCTCATGAAACCACTGAATTTTCTGAATTAACACCATCCCCACTCTAAAATAGTTACATTGTCTGTTTTCTGTAAAAGCTAGTTTTGCAGACTTGAGGCCCTTTTTCATATTTCCTTTTGCTTTTAATTTTTTCTAGATCATAATAATTTTTCCTCTGGATTTTAAAAGATCCATTTCTAATCAGTTATGCTCTTTAGCATAAAGAATATGTAAAATGGGCTAATGGTGAAAATTTGTAAGTGACTTTCTATAAATTGTTCTTATTAGGTCCTAAATAGGGTCACATTTTTAACTAATATACTATTTTCCCAACATTTTTTTTTTCCAGCAAGCAAGGACTTGGCACAAACCTCCTACTTCATGGCAACCAACAGGTTTTTATTTTCATTTATTTTCCTGTGTTGTGGGATGGGTTTTCTTTGGGTTAAGATAGCATCCTTCCAGGGACAGAAATGGATCAAAAGTTCAGGCTCTGAGGCTTGGGAAGCCTGGATTCAAGAATATTTACCTTGGCATAGAATAACTTTTCTCAGAACATGTGTGATATGAAAAACTGACTAATTTGTATTTTCTGACCACTTTCTATGGAGTGCTATGCCTTTCCCTAGTGCTTTATATTTTACAGAACTTAATACTCCTGTTGCCCCACCTCTTTGATAATGGCTCTAAAAACCCAGTAGCATAGTTCTTTGTGAATTCTGGACTCACTGAAAACCATTTCTCTTTATAAACAGCTTGCACTCCTGTTTGTACAGATTTTTGCAGCATTTTTTCCTTTTTTTTAAAACCATCAGAACTTTCATAGATTATATCCTTTGTCTCTTTTTTCCTCCAACCCATTAACTGACCTCAGCAGGCAAAAAGATTATGCTTCCTGTTTACCATTCACATGCCCTGTCATGGAAGGTTTCATAATTTTGAAATAGGCCACAAAACATGGGAATTTAAGGACATTCTGTATCATTTTAAGCAGAGTGAATTATTACATTATTTTTGATTCCATGGGATAATTTGCTGACACTTGTTTTCCTCACTGTTTGATTTGATTTGAGAGACTACCACTTTATTATATACAGGGCAAGCTCAGGTCAGCCAAAAGGAGTGTCTTATTTACTTTTACTTTCCCAAAGGTCTAAACTTGTTTTCAACTTAAGTAAAGCTCATTTTTGACAACTGCTTTTTATTAAATTATGACTTTAGCCTGCTCTGAAACTATAGAAAGGGATTATTTTGTTCATGTTAGTAATGTCAGTCAGTGGACATATTGTCAGAAAGGCAGAATTGAAGTGGTTTGAGCAAAAAAGGGGGAACTTCAAATCTTGCATGTAGGTGAATTGATAGCAAGACCATTATGATTATTGAATCTGAGCATTTTTACCTGTTTTTTTTTCCCAATGTTTATTTAGCAGAAAATTTTGGGGTTCAGGCTTGAGAGCTCATGGCTTTCTGTTTCTCTCCCTCCGATTGGTATCAGCCTGCACTTGACCACATTTAGCCTGCAGTATACACCTCCTGTGGTGGCTTGTGTCTGCATTCACCTGGCCTGTAAGTGGTCCAACTGGGAGATCCCAGTCTCCAGTGATGGGAAACACTGGTGGGAGTATGTGGATGTCACAGTAACCCTGGAGCTCCTCGATGGTGAGTTTTAGAGAAGGACACCTAAAAATTATTTTCACTTGGTTCTGTTAGTGCAATTTATCCAAGAAATTACTATACCTGTGGTTTCTTATACTTTAGCATTTCTTGTCCTTATCAAGCTTTTGAGGCTCAGTGGTCTCATGTTTTACTCTACATTCCTTTCTTCCTGCTGCTGGTGGTGATGATGATAATGAAGTTGGTTTGTAGCTGGCTTGTATATTTATAGTGCCCTTTTATGGCATATATAAATTTTTATTTGATAATTTCAAAAGTCCTATGATATAAGCAGAAATGGGTGTTAATATCATTTTAGAAAGCCTTAGTATGGTACAGTGGACGGAGTTCTTGTTTTGAGAGCAGGTAGACTGACACATACCATCCAGGTGACCATGGCCAAATTATTTTGCTAATTGGTGCCTCAGGGCTTTCCAGACTATGAGTTGTATTTGAATTGATGATCTCCCATTGATGGAGTTTTTGTACCAGATGAAATGAAATTACAAATCTGAGCTGTGGCCCTTTCTTTAGCCCCCCATCCCCCTTCCCCAACCCTCTTAATATACACATATGTAAATTAGGAAACCAAGGCTAAAAGAAGTTATTTGCCTTGCCCAAGGTCACATAACTTGTACATGGTAAAATTAAGATTCTAACATGGATCTTAGAACAAATTTACTATCGTTTTAAACTTAACCATAGCTTTCATATAGATGAAGCTAACCAAAAAATTGAAATCACCTTGTTTCTGTTATCTGTTTTTCTGAGTTTTTAATGTGTTTTTTGTTGAATTTACAGAACTGACTCATGAATTCCTACAGATCCTTGAGAAAACCCCTAACAGGCTCAAGCGCATTCGGAATTGGAGGGTAAGTGTTAATTGTTATGAGCCTGATGGACCAAAGCCAGTTATGTTTTCTAGGCTGCATTAGATCATAGAAATTGAATGAATATACTAAGTTTGGAATTTCCCTTTTTATAATTATGCAATAGTTGTGACTTCAGCTACATAACTTGTGCCTTGGCCCAGAAACCAGGGACAGTGGGTGGTGGTAGGTATTCTTAGGTATTGTATAACTGAACTATTTGTGAGGTAATCATTCAGTAAACATTGATTTGAATGTTCATTGCATGCACAGTCCTTAAGTGCCATGATGTAAAGAAACTGCTATAGGTCGCTGAAGATTATTTTCTGTTAGAAGCCACTTTTTAAAATGAATGTTAGCAAGATTGAGTTGTTTGATTTCAGTTAAATCCCAATTTAGCTTTGTGTGTGAAAGGAAGATTTTAATTCTTATTCAAGTAGAAAGCTTGACTTCAAATTTCCTTATTTCTCATAAACTGACACGTGTGAGTTTAATTTCATTATCTTTGAAAATCAACTTGCCTTTCAGAGGCCTAGATTTAGAAGGGATCTTGAAGTCATCTCGTTGATTTCTCTATCTTAAACAGTTTCATAGCCAGTTCATCCCAAAAATTTGAGGGGAAGTGTGTCAAGCATAACAGGACAGAAATATTTACTTACTAGGCTTCATCTTATTTATACTTTTTATCTTTGAATCTCCCCCTCCTGCCTTCTCACACATCTATTTCTATTGAATTGAGTCGAATTTGTTGGTGTTTTTTTTATTTTCATTGAAATTTTAATTAATATCTCTTATGTTATTACAAAGTCCTTCAGTATATTTCCCAGTATATTCTCTCTCTCTCTCTCTCTCTCAGGGACCCATCCCTTATAACAGAAAGAAAATCTGATTTTGTATCAATCAAATTGACATTATATGCAGAGTTCCACACCACAGTCCCTTTGTCCCTCATCTGTACACCACAAAGGATAGTGTATTCTCTTATTTCCTCTTTGAGGCAGATTTGATCATTATAATTTTCCCAGTGTTCAGTCTCATTTGTTTTGTTGGTTTTGTTGTTGTTTGAAATCCCCGTGTAAATTATTTTCCGCATGCTGCTTATATAACTTTAATCAGTTGATAGGTCTTCTCATATTTCTCTGTACTAAATAATTTTCATTGCAACAATCCATTACTTTCATTTTCCTCAACTTGTTGAGCCATTCACCAATAGCTGAGCTGTTTGTTTCCAATTCCTTGCTGCTACACAAGGTTCTCTAAATAGTTTGATGTATATCAAGCCTTTCTTTTTTATCATTGATCTTCTTGTTTGTGGAGTCCGACTAAAGTTGAAAGGTTTTTCAGACCCTTATATGTGAATAGAAAGATGTTTATTTTTTAATTCAGTATTAAGTAGAAAGTTTGACTTAAGATTTTCATTTCTTCTATCATTGATTCCTAGTAGTAGAATCTCTGGGTTAGAGAATATGGACATTTTAGTCATTTTTGTCAGCTCAATTCCAAATTTCCCAGAGTAGTTGGAACACTTCACATCTCCATTAGTAATGCATCAGTATGCCTCTTCTGTCACCTTTTGTCATCCTGTCAGTTTGCTGTAAGGTGAATTCAGAGTTCTGGTTTGCATTTCTCTTATTGGTAGTAATCTTTCATTTGAGTGCTATACCTTATAGTCACCTAGTATTGTATTGTTTTCAAAAGTACTTTCGCAAATTACATTATTCTTTCCATCTTCCAGATGAGAAAACTGAGGCTTAGGTTAAGTGACTTGTCCAGAGTCAGTCATTTAGAATTCATATCTCTGATTCCTCTTCCCCTTTTTTTATCCCCTACTAGACCATACTAGTGATAGTAGTATAGGGAGTGAACTTACTTGTTGGAGCCTTCTGCATCTGTCCTTGTCACATCTTCTAAGTGTGCAGCAGAGCCCTTAGATCTCAGGCACTTAAGATTATTGATCACTTTGTTTTTGTTTGACCAGAAGTAGGATTTTTGCAGTGGGGAGGAAACTCCCAGTGAGAAATTCCCTCTCCCAATGCAGATTGCACCTGTGAGACATCAGTCACTCAACAGTCATTTATTGTCTTTGATGTGCCAGGCACTGTGTCGCCTGCTAAGGATATAAACTTTAAAAAGGAAACAATCCATACCAGGGAGCTTTCATTCTGTTGAAGGAGAGAGCTTGTATATATATATAAGTACATACAGAACAAATACAGGTTAGTCAATGATGGGAGATGCTCACCTGGCATTGTTAACTGGCAAATTGCCTTATGAAGTTTATGAGTATAAATTTAGTCTTAGAAAATTAGTCTTGTCTTGGGTCCAGGGATTAAGTGACTTTGTCTAGGATCATACGACCAGTGTGTGTCCAACTTGCACCCAAGGACTTGAACCCCAGTCATATAATCATCTCATTCTCATATAATGGACTTGTATGGAGTGGATATTTAACTCTCATCTGCTTAATTTCAGGCTTGCCAGGCTGCCAAGAAATCTAAATCAGGTGACCCAGGAGAAGATGACTCCCTTTCAGAACAGGCAATACTCAGCATGATCTCCAGGAGCTCTTCAGATATGAACATTGCAGGCTTAATGAGTATGTCAACTTCTAACACAACTAGCACCGTGCCTTCTCTCCCAGCCAAGGAGAAGTCCCCCAGTGATTTAAGCAGCATGGAGATGTTGCAGGCTGACCACTGGCTGCCTTCACAGCATTCCCTCAAGCTGGAATCTACTCAGGGTCATCGGACTAATGAGCATCTAGCACTTATGGGAGCTGACCATTCTTTGCAACAGGACGCAGCTGCCTTTGTTTCTCAGAAGCCGAGCAGCAAAAGCACACCGGCTGCAAAGGTGTCTCTGAAGGAGTACCGAGCTAAGCATGCTGAGGAACTGGCTGCTCAGAAGCGACAGCTGGAGAACATGGAGGCCAATGTGAAATCACAGTATGCGTATGCTGCCCAGAATCTCTTGGCTCAGCAAGAGAGCCACTCCTCCTCTGTCATTCTGAAAATTCCCGTGGAAAGCTCTGAAAACCCAGACCGCCTTAGTCTGGAAAAGGCAGACAAAGCAGCCCTCAAAATGCGAATCCCCATGGTGGGCGGAGGGGATAAAGCCCTTTCAGCAAAACCAGAGGAGATAAAAATGCGTATTAAAGTTCACACAGCAACTGATAAACACAGCTCTGTGGATGAGTTTGGGGCAAAGACCCGGGAGCACAAGGAGAAGCACAAGGTCCACACATCTAATCATCACCACCATCACCACAATCACCACTCACACAAACACTCCCACTCCCAACTCCCAGTTGGTGCTGGGAACAAGCGACTGGGTGACTCAAAACATAGCAGCCAGTCAAGCATCCTGGCCCATAAAGCCTACAACTTGTCTGGCTCCTCTTCCTCTTCTAGTTCAGCCCGTAAAAGGCCCCTTCCCGAGGAGTCTGGAGTAATGTATGAGCACCCTGCCAAAATTGGCAAGACCTCTAAATCATCCTCTGTCACTTTCTCCTTCCCTCCTCTCCCTGCGATGACACAGTTGCCTGGGCATAGCTCAGAAACAAGCAGCCTCTCCTTCTCCCGAGCCCCTCATGTGAAATCGGACAAAGGCTCCACCGGAGCAAATGGACACAGCACAGCCCAGACGATAGACTATCAAGACACTGTTAACATGCTCCATTCGCTGCTTAGTGCCCAGGGCATGCAGCCCACGCAGCCCTCTGCTTACGAGTTTGTTCACTCTTACGGGGAATACCTGAATGCACGAGCTAGTGGGGTCCCTTCCAGAGCAGGCAATTTAGACAAGCCCCGACCACCTCCTCTACCGTCAGAACCTCCCCCACCACTCCCACCCCTCCCTAAGTAAATGAAAAAAAAAAGAGGCCCTTTTTTAACTACTGAGTCTGGACTAAGAAAATTACTTTCTGTATATGAGATTTTTGTCACCCTCCTTGGGCCAGGGAAGGGAGGGTATAGAGGGTAGGATACTGTTATATCCACTGCCTCAGAAATAGCTATTTTATTATAGTTTTTCCTGGTCGTAGAGAAGTGAGAATTCCTTAAAGCTGTGAAGGATTGAAAACACTTCCTCTGTTCTTTGCTCCTGTGTCTCCTAGCTGGGCAGTTGGTGTTGGTGGTTCCCCCCTTCCCGGCTCCCATATTTTCCGGTCAGGACTAAAAAGTGCAACTTTTCTTTCAAACAAAAAGCAAGTTGTGGAACTATTGGGGTTTTAATATATCAAAAGAGGAAGTATTTAAACATGTCATAAAATCTTTTAAAAAGTAATTTAAAAATAAGTTATCCGTTAAGTTTTTTTATATATATACATATATATAATTGGGGAAGGGTTGTGAGTCTTGCTGGGTTGATGACAAACAGCATTGACTTGAGGGAGAGAAGTTAGGGGGTGGGTGGACAGGGAGAAGGCTAGCAGCCTAGTCCTAGGCGCAGAGACAGGCCCTGGGCAATTTGAAGTGTGGAGACCTTTTGGTTTGTGTGTGTGCATTTATTTTTCTTTTCTATGTATATTTTTTAAAATCATGTTTCACCTCACCTTAACCTTCCTTTCTCTCAAGCAGTTATTACTGTAGGGAATATAGCATGTCTCAAAGCTTTTAACAGGAAGGGAGGAGAGATGTGTGGATTTTGTTTAGTATTTTCCCTTTTGTGTATGATGTAATAGATGGTAGAATGTGAACAGTTATGTATGGCAGCCGCTCTCTAAATTCTAGTCAAAGCCTTCTCAGCAATCCATTCATTGTCATAACTTTGCAGGTTCTATTTTAAAACTTATTTTTATTCGCCTCCATTTTAAGTCTTTGTGAAGTAAATTATAAAGGTTTGGGGTATGGGGGGGATGGAACAAGTTGATCTTTTGTACAGAATTGTTTTTTCAAGTTAGGTCTTGAAAAGCTTCCATATATGAACATTTTCATCATTTTCTGTGGAAGCTGGAATAAATCAGTAAGTACCATGTTCTAGCCAGCAAAATCCAGTCCTTATATGTTAATCTGGGGTCTGTGAGAGAGAACACTGGAAGATATTAAAAACAATGAAATTGTGATTTGGAATTTAGAAAACTATGTTTTAAACTGTATTATGAATGTGAGATTTGCTTTTCATCTGGTTTGTTAAAAGGAAATAGCTTCTTCCCAGAATGCATGTTGAATGAACTTCTGAAAATGGGGTCAGTGTATTAATTGAGCCAAATGGGTACTATTTGGGTGTGATTACTTAGATAAACCAGCATGTGCCATGGGCACAGTCATGCTCAGCTTATCCATCAATGCAGGTTTTATTCAGGGTCTCTGGCTCCAGGAATTCTGGAAGGAACTTGTCAGAAAACTTAAAAAAATTAAAAGGTGGTTTTAAAAAAAAAAATTCCTACTGACCCTGAAGCTTCATGTTTCAAAAGTGAACATATTTGGTGAAGAGGAAAATCTTATGGTTTGCAAGTAGCTTATTAAGAACCCAAAGCCAAATTCCAGCAAGTATCTTCCTAACCTATACATTTTTGCAGTGATTAGTCACATTAAATTTTCATACCCTGCTGGAGAGCTGTCTAACCAAAAGTGCAATGTAGATTTTCATTGTATCTTGAGAAATAGTCTTGGATTTTTAAATGTAGCATCCTTCACACCAAATATTCTTAAGGAAGAATTTTTGTTTTCACTGAAGCAGGCAAGGGGGACAGGAATTGATATATAACCCTAGTAAGGAGGCTTACAAATCCAAGGAATCTTGTAGGGAATGATTTGTCTGGTCCAAGTTTGGAGTCAGTTGGTGAAGACTTGATATAATGATTAGAAAATATGGAGAGAGAAACACTGACCCAGTAGAAGAAATTTCAGGAATGAGTCCCAACTGAAGAAATTAGACTGAAAAAGACTGCTATGGAATTTCTTGGGCTGTTTCTCTGTGCCTGTTTAAATTTTGCTTGCTCTATATTGTGCAAAATGAGGAACTCTGAGGACCTGTAAACTGGTAAAGCTTCTCAACTTGACTGGCACTTGGTGGCTTTTTGGTTTTGTTGTGTTTTCTGTGTGGTGTTAAGCTGTTGGTAAACCAACAATTCAATGATTAAACTTAGAATTTTACATACAGATACACAACTACACACCATCTCTGGGAATTCAGATTGTGTTGCTTATGAGGTTTTTGCCCATTATTTATTTAAACTTTGTTTATTTAGAAGTTTCTTTCTGTTCTCTATTGGCTTTGTTTTTGAGGGTTTTTTTGGAGGGTCGGAATTGGGGAGAATGCTCCCCTTCTTAACCTTCCCAAAAGGACATTTACCATCTGGTCAGCATCTGCAGCTTTGGTAGGTGGTGTTGATCACTGAATTAATTTTGCAAGTGAATGTTTGTGCTAGGCCCTTTTTTTTTTTTATCAGACTTCCATGCTCAGTGCCACTCTAGAGGTACCTATCCATACCAGCCTGCTAGCACTACACCATGGTAATACTATTGTGACTTCTTTGATAAGGACTAAACTGAGACAAAGTATCTAGGGAAGGCCATAGACATATCCTTCCTTCTGCCTTAAACTGTATTATCTTGGCTGTATACTAATTATACTGCTCATACAGGCCATTCTAGAGCTGTCTCTGGTTTTATAAGTATTAGTGCCTGCTGGGTCCTGACTTCAGTGAGAGCTGCCTGCAGCACTTGCTTGCAGATCTATGCAATAGCCCAAGTTCATCTCATGTGAACCACAACACACCCCCTGCATTCATTGCCTTAACTCCTCCTCTGTCCCTTAACCCACAGAGAATGGACTGAGGAGTTGTAAATCCAAAATTACTTGGATGTTTGAGGTTTTTTTTATTTGCCTGAGATTTTTAAAGATTATGAGTATCAGTGAATAAGATCTGAAGCATGGGTATACCAAATCTTCTGACTCTCAAAGTGATTCAATTCACTCCGTCTTGACAGTGAGAAGAAATTATCCCACCAGATCTCAGTGCTGCTATAATAGCAGCTACGAGGAAAAATATTCATCTTAAAGCTACTTTATGAACTAACATCCTAGGAAAAAGCTTTTTATGGTCTCTGGGTGTAGAAGACACTTTGGAGATTTATTTTACTCTTCCTGCTTAGTCATCAATATGTTTTCTTTAGAGAACTCTTGCCATTCTTCAATTACATATAACTTTCCTTTTTGTGAGGTGAGCTGGCATAGTTTTTGTGACTTCTGAGTTTTAGTTTAGTACATCTTTTTGAGTTTATATTCCTGGTTAACCAGTGCTGAAATCTGATCATTAATGAAAAAGGGTAGAAGCTTAACAATTAGCCTTCTATTAAATGCTGCAGATTAAGATACTGAGATAAAAATCATGATAACATCTCTTATGGTGTCTAAGCTTAACTAGCTTAAATTAGAAATTCTTGACTCCTTTAACAACCCTTACTCCAGGGCATGGAATTAGAGGTGGCATCCCTATCATAGTATATCTAGATTTAAATGCAACAATGTTTTATCTCTCAGAAACTGATTCATCCTTCTTTTTGCTGGCACTTTTGATATTTATAGTAGGAAAGGGAGACTTCTTAGGGTGGGTTACAAATGTTCTTCAGGGCATGGGGGGATTTATGGTCTATGCAATCCATCAGTGGTGAGAAAGACACACTGGTTCCACTGAGCTGTCAGTGACTTTGATACCTCCTGAAATCTCATGTAACTGCTTTTTAACACCAAGTTTTCAAATGTTTGGTCCTGATGTTAAGAAAATATTCATGTTGCACCACACCATTAATTTTTATTTTGTCCTTGTGCCCCTCTCTGGACCTGAATTTCAAACAAGCTTTGTACTGTAATTCTCCATGATATGTAGTAAGGCTTGGGGTGAGAGTGGGGGTAGTTTTTAAGTGAAAGAGTCCCTCCATTTTAATATTTTTCCTAACTATTTAATATAAACTTGGAATTGGGGAGGGTAGGGAAGAGAGGGAAAGAATAAGAGAATAATGTTTACTAAAAAAACCAGTGTCCATTCCCTTCCCCTTTGTGAGTGGGTTAACCACAGTTGACTGAAATGTCAGAAAAGACTGACTCAGGTTTTATATTGCCATGTTGTGCATGGAGAGGGATGCTTGACAGCATGTGAAAGCTATATTGATTAATTGATGCCAGAGCAAATATATGCTTCTCCAGATATTTGGGTACTTTTTTGGTGGAAAACTACAGAACTGACTGGTTAGTGATTGACGTATACTGGAATTGTTTGGGGAGAAGTGATAGTTTGTTTCACGTTCCAGACTAAAGACTGCAACAGCCTGACACTAAGTTTCTGGATTTGAAACTGTTCTTTCCCAGATTCATCCTGACTGAACACCCCCATATCAGACCAAAGAATACCAAAAAACAAAAACAGCACCCTCCACCACCTCTCCTCCCCCCCGCCCCAACACTTTACTGATCTTTGTCACTCAGGTACTACTTTGTGGTAAGACATTTATGTGTTTTCTTTATACAGTTCCCAAGAGCCCTTTCTACAGCATATGCATTTGCCCACCTAGGGGTACATCAGTTGGGATGTTATCCCTTGTATCTCTTCTGCTGGTATGTGGTTGATAGGACAAGAATGACCATTACAGTAAGGGCTGTTTGTACAAAAATTTTTTTTTAATTGTATACGTTTTATAGTCTGGCTATCAGTTGTTTGATAACTTGCTGTCAGGTATGTTTCTCTATATGTATTTATCCACCACATCAATAAATGCTAAAGGTAAAGGAGTAATCGGATTGTGCTGTTCATGTGTGTGTGTCTTTAATTATTGATAAATATCACAATCTTGACATGACTTCCCCTTTATTTTAGTTTCTATAATTTTTATATTTTTATTGTTCGGTTGTTTCAGTTGTATTGACACTTAAGGGCTTCATTTGAGGTTTTCTTGGCAAAGATACTGGAACAGTTTGCCATTTCCTTCTCCAGCTCACTTTACAGATGCGGAAACTGAGGTGGGCAAGGTTAAGTGACTTGCCCAGGGTCACACAACTAGTAAATCTGGTCTGAGGCCAGATTTGAACTCAGGAAGATGAGTCTTCTTGACTCCAGGCCCAGCACTCTATCCACTGGGCCATCTGGCTGTATGCTGTACGTAAGATTCTCCAGTAAATCCTACACTTACACTTTATCATGGTGTGATGTGATTTTGGATTCTCTTTTATATATATATATATATATTAATTTTTAGTTTTCAGCATTCACTTCCATAACATTTTGCGTTCCAAATTTTCTTCCCCTCCTTTCTATCACCCCAAGACACTGTGCAATCTGATGTAGGCTCTACATATACATTCATGTTATACATATTTTCACATTAGTCACATTGTAAAGAACGATTAGAACCAATGGGAGGAACCACAAGAAAGAAGAAACAAAAAAGAGAGCAAATAGTATGTTTACATCTGCATTCTGACTCCATAGTTGGTTTTTTTTTTTTTCTCCTGGATGTGGATAGCATTTTCTGTCATGAGTCTTTTGGAGTTGTATGATCCTTGCATTGCTAAGAAGAGAGAAGTCTATCAAAGTTAAGTCATTGCACAATGTTGCTATGACTATGTACAATGTTCTCCTGGTTCTGCTCACTTCACTCAGCATCACTTCATGTAAATTCAGGTTTTTCTGAAGTCCGCCTGTCCATCATTTCTTATGGAACAATAGTATTCTATTACATTCATCTACCACAACTTGTTCAGCTATTCCCCAGTTGATGGGCATCCCCTCAATCTCCAATTTTTGGCCACCACCAAAAGATCAGCTATAAATATTTTTGTACATGTGGGTCCTTTTCCCATTTTTATGATCTCTTTGAGATACAGAGCTAGAAATGGTATTGTTGAGTCAAAGGGTGTGCAGAGTTTTATAGCCCTTTGGGCATAGTTCCAAATTTCTCCAGAATGGTTGGATCAGCACAACTCCACCAACAATGCATTAGTGCTCCAATTTTCCCACATCTCCAACATGTGTCGTTTTCCTGTTTTGTCATGTTAGCCAATCTGATAGATGTGATGTGGTACCTCAGAATAGTTTTGATTTGCATTTCTCTAATCAATAGTGATTTAGAGCATTGTTTCATATGACTATAGATAGTTTTAATTTCTTTATCTGAGAACTGCCTGTTCATATCCTTTGACCATTTATCATTTGGGGATGACTTTGGATTCTTAAAGACTACCAAGGGAGTACAAAGCTGTTCTAGGTCTTACCAACCAAAGTGGAAAGACCAGAACACAGATCTAGCAAAATAAGCTTATAAGAAAGTTGGTCATTAGGTATTTTTTTTTTGTCCATGGCATCTAGTGAAGCTGATGGGGATGGGCAAAGCCAGATGCTAAGAGGTAAATGAAGGCATGTCCATACTGATAAAGTCATAGATCCTTGAAGTATATAGTATGTTACAGAAAAGATTTTTTGACTAGTACTGATGACTTGTGTAATCTGACTCTGCATTTCCCATTTATCTTTGAATGGTTTGGAAAAACAGACTGAGTATTATTGGATAAATTCCATTTGAAAATCCAAAGCATTAAATATTCATTGCAACAAACATTTATTTACTACCTATCCAGGCAGGTTCTGGGGGTGATAACAGATAAAAAGAAATGGTCAGCCCTTTCTTCTAGATAATTACAATTTGTTATTATTAATCATGGGAAATTTAAACTGTACTGTATAATCTATAAGAGACTAGAGTAGAAAGTTGGGGAGCCTTTGGTCCTGATGAGTAACTGAGTGGTGACCTATGAAGGAGGAAGGGTAAGTGGAAAAATTTGCCATTTTAAATTGTGTGGTTGCTCTAATTGGAAGTAATGTCCTTTTAAATGAAAAACACCTTGGAGACAGGAACATGATATTACTCCAAAGAAGATTAAAAAGTTTGGACCCTTTAATGACACTCCTAACATTGGTCACAATAACCACAATTGCCTGGGACTACACTAAACAATACATTAGGCTTTGGGATTAGACCTTTGATTTCATTAGGAAATTCTTAAGATGAGGAAATTCCTTCTACCAATGCACTTTCTCTGCAATCTTCCAAAACTCCCTTATTCTTTTGAGAGTGCCACCATCTTTCTAGTTTTATCACCTCTCCTTGAATCCTCACCCTGCTTCACACCCTAAAAATCTAAGCAGTTGCCAAATCCTGTCATTTCCACATTCATAACATCTCACGCAACTCTACTCCCACAGCCCACAACCCTAGTCCAGGCTTTTGTTACCTCCTTCCTGCCTTGCGATAGCATCCATTCTCCCTTCTTCTGTCAAAGTGATTTTCTCTAAATCCTGTTGTACACTACTCAATTAACTAATGGCTTCTTGTTACCTATAGAAGCAACTATAAACTCCTGATATTTGACATTTTTCACAACTCATCCCTAACCTACCTATCCAGCACTGTTACACATTATTTCTCTTCACGCACACTATGGTCCAGCCAAACTGGCCTTACTACTTTCCACCCAATACTCTTTATCTCCCATCTCCATATGTTCGTATTGGCTGTCCCCCATTCCTGGAATGCACTCCTTCACCTCTGCTTCTTAGAATCTCTAGTTTCCTTCAAGGCTTAGCTCAAACACCGCCTTCTTCATGATCTCCCCTAAGTTAGGCCTTCCCCACCAAATTATCCATTTCTCTTCTGGCTGGATTGTAAGCTTCTTGAGGGCAGAAATTACTTCAGTTTTGTCTCTCTCTGCCCAGAACCAAGTACAGTGAGTGTCACATAATTGTGTAGTAGTTGTGTCCTTTGTTTCCGACATTAGGGAGATGATGGCATGACTTGCAATTTAATAGGATTCGAGTGAGGGAGGGCTGTGCAAAGTCACCAGCTTCACTTTCACCTCCAAAGCCATCTGGGTCCACTGGCCAGATATCAATCAGGACAACTGGAGATGGCCCAGGATTCAATGGGAGACCTTGGCTAAAGTCTTTTCAAGTTCTCACTTTGAGTGAGGCAATGCCCATTTAGTGAATAGGCCTCTTTAAGAAGTGAGTCAAGGGATGGCCCCTTTAATCAAAATAAATAAATAAAAATCAAAGTGGAAGAGGAAGACCCTTAGGATTGCTCCCCAAAAGAGAAACAGTTACTATTTACATTCACTCTGAGGCTGAAGGGCCCAAAAAATAACCATTAAGTGGTGCTTGGGCAGGGACCTATTGTCTTTCTGGTTTTTTTTTTGTTTTGTTTTGGCTAGGAAATGGGTTAAGTGACTTGCCCAGGGTCACACAGCTAGTAAGTGTCAAGTGTTTGGTTTGAGGTTGGATTTGAACTCAGGTCCTCCTGACTCCAGGGCCAGTGCTGTATCCACTGCTCCACCTACCTGCCCCAGGGATCTATTGTCCATTAGATCCAGAGTGAATTGGATTTAAGGCTTGGTCTTTGAGAAAGAAATCTAGCCAGTAAAGCCCAAGTTAACTAGGTAGGTTTTAGCCAGCAAAATTTACCTTCCTTTGGGCAAAACACCCTCAGGTAAGAGCACAGAATAAGCATTCAATGAATGTCAATTAATAAGCATTTAAGTCCCTTCTATGTGCCAGACTATATTAAGCACTGAGGATAGAAGGGCAAAAAACAGTCCCTGGCCTTAAGGAGATCACAAGAGAGGACATGCAAACAACTATGTGCAAACAAGCTATATAAAATACAAATAGGAAATAATCAACAGAGAGAGGGTACTAAAATTAAGAGGAATTGAGAAATGATTGCCTTAGATGAGATTCTAACTGGAACTTGAAAAAATTCAGGGAAGCTAGGAGGCAGAGATGAGGGAGGAGATAATTCCAAGCATGGGGGACAGCCAGCTCAGACTGAGAGTTGCCATGTCTTGCTCAAGGAATAGCAAGGAGACCTTGCAATGGACATTGGTATGAAATGTAAGAAAACTGGAAAGGTGTGTGTGGGGAGGAGGGGGAGGCTAGGTTATGAAGGGTCTTTGAACACTAATTAGAATTTTATATTTGATTCTGGAAGTAATAGGGAGCTACTGGAGTTTATTGAATGGGGATGGGAAGTGACCATGGTCAGACGTGTGCTTTAAGAAAATCACTAGGGGGCAGCTAGGTGGTGTGGTGGATACAGCACTGGCCCTGGAGTCAGGAGGACCTGAGTTCAAATCCAACCTCAGACCAAACACTTGACACTTACTAGCTGTGTGACCCTGGGCAAGTCACTTAACTCCAATTGCCTAAAAAAAAAAATCACTTTGGTGGCTGAGTGGAGGATAGACTAGAATGAGGAGAGACTTGTGGCAGACAGGCCAACCCAGTAGTCTATTGCAGTAGTCTAGGTGAGAGGAGATGAAGGCCTCAGTAGTGACAGTATCAGAGAAAAGAAGTGGATGTATTCAAGAGGTATTACAAAGGTAAAATTGACAGGCCTTAGAAATAGATTGGATATAGGTGTTGAGAGGTAGCGAGGAGTCAAGGATGATACCTAGGTTTTGAGCCTGAGGAACTAGGAGAATAGTGTTATGGTATTGCTGTCTACAGTAGTAGAAAAGCTAGGAGGTAGAAAGGGTTTAGGGGCAAAGATAATGAGTTCCATTTTGGACTTGTTGAATTTAAAATGTCTAACTGGACATTGAAATGTCTGAAAGGCAGTTGGAGATGTGAGATTTGCGCTCAGAGAATTTAGGACAGGATAGGTAGGTTTGAGAATCAAATCCATGGGAGCAGATTGTCAAGTGAGGTAGTATAGAGGAAGAATAGAGGGCCTAGGACAGAACTGT